ACACACGCGCACACACACACACACACACACACAAAACGCTCCCACGTTATCCGCTTACGGATCACTGCGTCTCTGGTTCAGAAACCCACGTGCACAGATTCTCATCAATCGCAAACGATTTGAAATAATCTCACATGATCCAAACAGCCTGATTACATGTGCATGAATAGTGAATATAACATTTCAAATATCTAAAAATTGCACAAGACAGCTCTCTTCTCATATTGCAAACTTCGTTTAACAAATGAGACAAAAACTGGATGCAAAAACCACAAAACTTTGTCCTGTGCAAACATATCAGCCTCATACTTTCTCTACAACAATATCTAGTCATGCCTGGATGAGAGACTAAAGAACAATGTTATTTTAGTAGTATTACCAGTATTGCTGGTATTACTAGTATATTTAGTGTGTGTGAATGATATATTATGTAATAATAATATATAATTATATATAATTTTTTAATTTTACTTATAGTAATTTCATGTTTTTGTCATTATTATTACTTTATTATATATATATATATATATATACACACACACACACACACACACATATGCACATATACATATATGCTTAAATCTTAGTAACTTTTTGTCATTATTATTAGTAACTGTTTTTGTCATTATTATTTTTTGTCATTTCTATTTTTATTTCTATTTAGCTTCATTTTTATTTCAGTTTTGTCAGTTTTATTATTTCGTTTTTTTTTTCTATTTAGCTTTATTTTATTTCCTTTTTGTTATTTCTATTTTTATTTCTATTTAGCTTTATTTTTATTTCAGTTTTAGTAATTTTACTGCTTCAATTTAAAGTTTATTTTATTTCCGTTAGTTTACACGGGAAACTTTGTACATTTTTCATCAAAGATTTATATTTTATTTTAATTACCAAAAGAAAAGAAAAAATATGGAGTTCTAATTTATAACTATGCAGTTCTAGCTTATTTGATTTGACTTATTTTAGAATTTCAACTTAAAATGGAAATGTTGAGAAATGCAACTAGCTGAAATTTTTTTATTTTATTTTTTATTTTACTTTATTCTATTTTATTATTTCAATTAATGTTTCTTTTATTTCCATAATGACAGTCCATAATCCACATAATTTGTTTCAAGTAATTATTTTTTTATGGTTTTAGTTTTAGTGAATGACACCAGATCTGATTCTCAGATCAAATTGTGTTTTCTCTCTGTGATCAAACCTGCACTTTTCTAAATTATGTACCACCCACCTTCCTCGGAGACATTTTTCATAAACCTGCTTGATCAGGGCGAAACACAAACACAGTCATTACATTAAAAGTGCTGGGTTAATTCACGCTCTGAGGCGGGGAGATGTTTAAACAAACAGTGAGAGCAGAACCGTGTGTTTGTGGCATTACGGATGACGGCGGCCCGGCCCTAATCGCAAACCTGCCCGAGGACAACGAGCACAGACTTGTGGGAACAGGGTGTAGATTTAACAGAGACTGAGATGCTGCGAATTCAATAGCACAGCCAGTAAAACGAATACAGGAAGTAGAATTAGTTTACAGAAAACCAATCCCTGCGTTTCTGTGAGTCATCGTGTCCCAATCGCACACACTATCAAGGGAATGAAACTAGGACTGATGCATGTTGGAATGGTTTGGAAAGTGAAGCGCTTTAAAGCAGATTTTTTAAATGATGTAGTGAATGCCGTTCAGGACTTTTATTGTGTAATACTGCAGATGTGTGCGGCTCTCACATGAGGCTCTGCCTGAAGTGAGCGGGCCCCTGGGGGTCGTCGTCCTTCTGAGGGTCCGTCAGCTCTATCGGCATCACCAGGCCCATGTCCTCACCCTGATCAATGAGCGCTGTCATTATTATCTGTGCAAAACAAGCAAAAAACAAAGAAGGAAAAATAAATTATACACTTCTTAATTGTTTATCGATTATTTAATCATGAACATATAACAAAACCAAAATATCTAACGACGATATCATAGGTTCAACAAATAAATAAATAAAAATTGATAAAATATTACAGATAAAATTCAATTCAGTTGTTTTTTTTTTTCATTTATATATATTATAATTTTGTTGATGTTGCCAATTATTTGTTTATTAGAATATATATTTGATTAAAATATACTGGGTTCAACAACAAAAATAATAGGTAAAATATTAAATTTTAAAGTCGATTGAATACATTTAATTTTTATTATGTTTATTAATTTATATATATATAATATTATATATATATATTTTTTTTTAATTTGTACCCAATTTGTATTTAATTTGTATTTATTTTAATAAACTAAATATAAACAAGAAAACATTGGCTACAACAACAAAAACAATGGATAAAATATTACATTTTATACATTATTTAAAACTATTTTATTATTATTTACACAATATTACATACAGAGTTTACTTTTTTTTCACTTTGTTTACTGTTAAAGTTTTTCCATGGGCCTTGTTGCTTTTCTGATGCTTTGTTATTCAAGAAAAAATACAATAACCAAAAGAATTATTTCGACAATACAACTAGAACATTAATATTAACATGGATGCAAAATAGTTAACATATAAATATGCCATCATTACTGGAACACGCAATTCTTTGATCTTGCTGCAGTGCATTCTGGGATTGCTCTCTCAGAAGGACACACGTGACGCTGTCTTACAATGTGGCTTTACACCTATGATGCCTTAAAATATTAGACAAGGTTTCTCTTGCAAACATATGAAGAAACGCTGCGTTTGAGCTCAAACAGCTATTCAAAACAACACCACATCACTTTCAATTCAGCACTGACCTAGAAAAGTGAATGGCTTTATTGTGACGAGAGCAGAAGCGGCCGTCGGTTAAACATGCTAATGAGGGTAAATCGCACTGGTTTAATCAGGCCGCGTGTGAGAACGAGTCACATCCAGTGAAAACCTGCCACAACAGAAATAATCATCAGACTCACTCGCTTTATTCAGCAGAAAATTCCACAACAAAACAAAACCGTCAATAAACGTCCAGGAATTCCCAGACATCGGATACGCGCCGCTCCCTTCAGAAAGGGCTTTTGTCCAATTCAAAGCAGCAGATTTCCTTACAGTAACTGAAGCCTTGATAATCAATAGTCATCATGCGGTTTCTGTGCATTTCATGACACAAAAGTGGATGTTTTTGCATTCTGTATCTGGCCTCATTTGAGGTCACACTTGGGAAAGAAATTGGGAGAAAAGCTTTTGGGAAAAGCGTTTGGCATCACTGACATCCAACCTGGTGCAAAGCAACTAAAAGCAAAGGAAGAAAATTGTAAAGTGAGGAAAAATGTTAGCTGTGCATGTTTGCAGAGCTGCAAAATTTGGCCTTTTTTTGTTTGTTTGTTTTTGTGATTACATACCAATAGGACAATTTAATAAAAATAATAATAATAAATTACTATTTAAATAACATATTAAACAAAAAAATAAACATTAGCATTATAATATTTCACTGTAAAATAAATATAATTTTATTTTACAATATAACTAATGACTAAATGTAAAAATAATAATAATAATAATTTGTTTTTAATAGTAAAAATGATTAATGATAATAATAGTAGTAGTAATAATAATAATAATTTTATATTACTGAAACAAAATAATGATAACAAAATAAATAAAAAAATTCTCTGTATAATGAAGTATTTAAGCAAATAATAATAATTATTATTTATTTTTACAGTACAATTAATGGCTAAATAATAATAATAATAATTTATTACTGCAAATAATAATAATAATTTATTCTTTATTATTTATTCTTAGTCTTACTAGTACTTAATAAAAGATGAAACAAAAATAAATCTTAAAAAAATATTACCATAGTAATATTTTACTATAAAAATAAAATATTCAAGTAAATTCTTGAGTATTAAAGAAAAAATTCAGGAAACCGTAATATAATAACAATAATTTATTACAAAAAAACAAAAATAAGAAACATTATTATTGTAATACTTGAAATAAAATAAAAAAATATATATTTAAGAGTATGTAAGGAATATAATATAATTTTATTTTACAGTGCAAATGTAAAATTACTAAAAATAATATTTATGTGGGAATATGGTTGACCCATGTTGTGTTTTCAAATGTGTGTTATAAGTGACCCTCAGCAAACTAGTGATTTTGGTTTGGATTAATCATGCAGCCCTTTCCATCTAATCTAGTTGTTTTTTTCTCGGAAGAAAGAAAATAACCAAAGAAAGCTGCCTCAGATGATAAGGCTCCTCAGATGTGCCTCAGATGCTCTCTTATGGATATGAGCCATGCAGGGTGAAGCTGGAGGCATCGAACTTTCTCTGTGGAAAGATCTGGCAGCGTGAAAACACTCGGGCAAGTGATAACAGCTCACCTCCACCCACCCACACACACACACACACACACACACACATCTGATTAAATAAGGCTCGCCAACCGAGTGCCATCTGAAGAAAGAGTGACTTGAGAGAGACAGAAAACAAGCTGATAACAAGCTCTAAATATAGCAGTGTGACTGACCACAAACACTGGAGAGACGTCGAACACAAGCGAGCAAACCGCTGCAGAAACACACGCATTCATCAAAGCATGCCAGTAAAACTCTAGTGGACGGCAGCGTTTCTGCTGTTTAATGTGTTTAAATGAGCGGCTGATCTTCCTCAAACAGGAAGAGGCGCAAACGTCTCCTGAGAGCCCGTGTCTTCATGTCCCTCCGGTTCGTGACGTGGACGGCAGAGGGTTAGGAAACTTTCTGTAGATCAAGAGACAAGCTCAAAACCAGCGAAGGATTCATTCTGGGAAGGGAAAAATAGCCTACATGCAAAAGAACATGACCCTAAACATGGGAAAGTCACTTTATAAATAAAATAAGAGGTGATTCAAAATATTAATAAATACTATATAAACACACATGCATGTATACATTTAAAAAAATGTTATGCTTATATATTAAATATACTCATATATAACATAAATTATATGAATATAATACATACATGTAAATACATGTAAATATTTTTTAATTATATGCTGTATGTGTGTGTATTTATATATACATAATAAATATACACAGCACACACATATATTATGTAAACAAAAAACTTGCTTTGGATGTGATTAATCATGAGTAATCGTATATATATATATGTGTGTGTGTGTGTGTGTCAAAATATTAATAGATACGTTTAGGTTGAAGTAATAAAAGTACTAAAACTGAAATAAAATAAATAAACAGCTATATAGACATAAAAAATATAAAAACTAATGAAAATAACAAGAGCACATAAAATTACTATAAAATATAAAAATAAAAGCTAGTTAAAAATATTAAGACATATGTTTACCCCGAAGTGCTTAAGTGTTAAAATGGCTAAAACCGAAATAAAATAAATAAACAGCTATATACAAATATAAAAAAAAATATATATATATATATATACTGTATATATACATATATAAACTAATTAAAATAACAAGAGCACATAATATATATATACACATAGACACACATATATATACTGTATATACATTACTGAATAGAATGATAGAATGACAGACAGAGAACGTTTTCCTTGGGTTCAGGAACTGTCTTGTGTGTTTTTCCTGGAGCTCATCCAAGCTGTGAAGACCACAGAGCCCTGGGAAAATCAGTCAAACACCACAAAAGAGACGACAGATAGAGAGAAACAACAGCAGAACAGAAACTCTCCGTCAGTCTGGCTCTATTCAGAGTCTGTCAGCTGAAGTGACAGGACAGAAAAATAACAACTAATTCCTTAAAGTAGTTCAGAAACGCCACGGGTTGACAAAACCCAGCAAGCAACAGCCGTAATTTCAATGTCATTTCACCGTCTCGGTTAAGTATAGACCCGATATAGTCCGGCTATGTGTAACCCACTTCTAGCCCAAATAACCTTGAATTTGATTTCATGTTGTTTTTTGGCTAAATAACTTGTGAGATGTATGATTTTCCATCATGTAAGCAAAGTCAACAGCGTTTTCAGGGTGTTTGGTTTCATTTCTTTGACATGTTCAATACTTAGCCTGTGCGTAGCCACGATTTAGCTTGTAGTCCGAGTGTAATCTGTAGCCCACTTATAGTCAAATTTGATTCACTGTAGTTTTTGGCCAGGCAGCGCATGAGATGGTTGATATCCCATCATGTTCGCAGTGTCAATAATATCTACAAAGATATAAGTGTCATTTCATGACATGGTCTATATGTAGCCACGATTTCGCTCTAAATTGGACGGGCTACGTGTAGTCTGCTTTTAGCCCACCTGGCGAAATCGAGGCAATCTGTGGTCTAATTTTAACGGCTTGGCTATAGCCCTATACCAGAAACCAGACCAGCGATGAGCATAGCCAAAATAGCCTTA